AGGGGAGACCTTCATATTAGTAGTCTCCTACATTTCACCTGGTAGATGGTCTAGCCTGCTGCCAGCCACAAGGCTACTCACAGCAACATTAGATGTCACCTGGCTGGAGCGGAGCAGAACGCAGGGGTCAGCCTACCCCAGGTTAACTCCAATTTGGAGAAAGCTGTGAACATCATACTGGACATTGGACTCTTACAGGGATCCATGAACGATTTGGGAACAGACCCAAAATATGTAAAAACAAGGCATTTCCTCCCAAAAGGCAATACACTAGACGTTTACCATTTTCCCTCTCTTAGCCTCGTTCCCTCTTTTTTTTTTTTTTGGTAATCATCCCTGATTTGAGGGCTCCCCCCAGCCCCAGGCCAATTTAAGGTGCCTCTGGAAAAATTTTAAATGGCAGACGCCTCCTGGGGCAGTGCCAATGCCTGACAGGGTTCAGGTTTGAGGGAAGACCTCAGTCCTCACTTGCCCTTTCTTCCTTTCAATCAACATAGTGGGGGATGGTGAACCTCTCATGGCCCCCTTCCCTGGCCCAGATGACTTGACTGGGTCTGGCCAATCAAAGGGCTGCATCCCTCTGGCTACTGGGATTGGTTTAAAGATGGAGATAGGCCCATGACCTAACCTCATCCAGTAATTGACCCTGGGAGCTTTTCAGTTTTTCTTTTCTTTTCTTTTTTCTTTCTCTGTGTGTGTGTGTGACAGGTTCTCACTCTGTTGCTGCCCCAGGCTACAGTGCCATGCATCATAGCTCACAGCAACCTCAAACTCTTGGGTTCAAACCATCCTCTTATCTCAGTCTCCCAAGTAGCTGGGACTACAGACACCCACCATAACACCTGGCTATTTTTAGAGACAGAGTCTCACTTGGGCTCAGGCTGGTATTGAACTTCTGAGCTCAAGCAATCCACCCACCTCAGTCTCCCAGAGTGCTGGGATTACAGGCATAAGAGACCGTGTCTGACCTCTATTTTTTAATTGAAGTAAAATTCATTTCACATAAGATTAGCCATTACCCACATTAAAGAGTACAATTCAGTGGCATTTAGAATATTCACCACATTGTACAACCATCACCTCTAACTAGTTTCAAGACATTTTCATTATCCCAGGAAGAAGTCAAGTCCTCATTAAGAGTCGTTTCCCACTCCTCCTCCCCTCAGCCTCTGGCTACCCTGAATTTTTTGTTTGTTTGTTTGTTTCAAGACAGAGTCTCACTATGTCACTCTTGGTAGAGTGCTATGGCATCACAGCTCACAGCAACCTCCAACTCCTGGGCTTAAGCGATTCTCTTGCCTCAGCCTCCCAAGTAGCTGGGACTACAGGTGCCTGCCACGACGTCTGGCTACTTTTTGGTTGTGGTTATCATTGCTATTTTTTGTTGTTGTTGCAGTTGCCATTGTTGTTTAGCAGGCCCAGACCGAGTTCAAACCCGCCAGCCTCGGTGTATGTGGCCGGCGCCCTAACCACTGAGCTATGAGCGCTGAGCTGGCTACACTGAATTCACTCCTTGTCTTTGTGCCTCGGCCTGTTCTGGACATTTCATATAAACAGAGTCACACTGTGTGTCCGTCTGTGGCTGGCTTGTCTCACTGAGCACAATGTCCTCAAAGTCCATCCATATTGCAACCTGTGTCAGAGCCTCCTTCCTTTTTGTCACTGAATCATATGCCATTGGCGCCTACCCCACATTCTGTCAATCCATTCATCAACAGATGAATAGAACTTACAGTCAACTACCAAATTGTTTTCCTTAGTTACACCGTTTGACATCCCTCGTAGCAATGTATGAAGGTTATAATTACTTTGCATTCTCTGCAACACCTATTTTCCATAGGTGTTAGGGGTTTTTTGATTGCTTTGTTTTTCTTGATTATGGCCAACCTAGGGGCTGAGAAGTGGTCTCTTACTGCAGTTTTGATTTTCATTTCCATAATGACTAATGACATTGAGAGCCTTTTCATGTTGCACGTGGAGCTTTTAAGTTTACTTTTCAGCTTGGAGCATGCAAGCCTAGCATTGCTGGTGGCCCCTTCCCATCCATGAGGCAGACCAAAAGGACTGAGAGCCTGGCACTGGCAAGATCATCTGAAGCCTGGATATAGCCAGATCTGCAACCTGAGCCTTACCTTCAAAAGAATGTGTGGGTTTTGGTTCACAAATTTTTTTGTTTTGTGGATAATTTATTTGTTTATTTGTTTGTTTTTGGAGATAGGGTCTTGCTCTATTGTCCAGGCTGGAATGAAAGGCACAATCACAGCTCACTGCAGACTTGAACTCCTCAGTTCAAGCCATCCTCCTGCCTCAGCCTCCTTCGTAGCTGGAACTATAGGTGTGCACTACCATATCCAGATAACTTTTTTATGTTTTTAGAGACAGGGTCTCACTCTTGCTCAGCCTAGTCTCAAACTCTGATGTCAAGTGATCCTCCCACCTTCACCTCCCAAAGTGCTAGGACTACAGGCATTAACCAGAGTACTTGGCCTGGAGGTGAGGTACTGTCACCAAGAATCTTCCCTGCTGGGTACTAGGACCTGCCAAGGTCATGCAGATAGAATTACAGACTGGACAAGCACGCAGGCCTCCTGCTTACCTGCTGCATACATGCCCCAAGAAGAGGCTATGAGGATGGGTCAGTAAGGGTCAGAGGACAGATGCTAGGGACAGATTGTGCCCTGTGTTTACAGACAGAAAGTGATTTTCTAGATCTAGCTACATAAGCCAACAAAGGAGGGAAAGAAGTCTAGAGTCAAATGCTTCTGTATCTAACTCCCATTCTCCCCCAGAAGATCGTGAATTGAGGTTCTTAACTTTTAGGGCATCTAACACCCCTTCAGGGAATCTCTTGGAAGCCTAGCTCCTCTCCCCCAAAATACACCAAGACACCTAACATTTTGCAGATAATTTCTCAAGTTTAGAGAAACTACCCCTTCTTCCTCCATTACAATTCATTCTGGGGCCACAGGTGAAGAACTTCTGATCTGTAGAACAAGAAAGTCAGAAGAACCCAGAAGCTGGGGAACAGGATTCATGTTTACTTGTACTGCTGCCTCACTGTGGTACAAAGACCTTTCAGGGAAGGACAGATCTGGGTTCACATCCAGGCTGTGTGGCCTTGGGCAAGTCACTTGCACCCCTGAGCCACATCAATAAAATGAGAATATTCTTAATCTATCTGAAGTGGGCCTACATGATAATATGCTCGGACACCCATCTTTTGCAGACAACGTCAAGTGATCCATGGACATTACAACTAATCTGGGCTCCCCAGGTAGAGAACATCTTACTATGCCTTCCCCATCACTGACTAAGCTCTGGCTATAGTTCTTTTTGTCACTCCACCTTGCAAGCTTATTCCCATCTCAAGGGTTTCACACCTCCCGTTCCTTCTACCCAGAATGGTCTTGCCCTGCTGCTGATATGGCTGGTTTTCCTCATCATTGAGGGCTCGTCTGAAAAGTGCACTGTCCCTCACCAAATACCCATTCTTTAGAACACCACCACCTTTTATCTTTTCTTAATGGTGTTCATCAGTGTCTAGAAGTACTCTGTTCATGTATCATTTTATTCATTTGATACCTGTCTCCTTCACCAGAGCAGGGACTTTGAATGTCTTTGTTGTCTTATCTCCACAGAGTGCAAAGTCTGAAATACAGTAGAAACTCAATATATCCCCTTGTTGGCGGGATGGATGGATGTGTGGGTAAAAATAGATGAATGTGAAGGATGACTGAATGATTGGGATGGATAGATGAATAGACAAATGAATGGCTAAATGTAGAAGGATGGATAAGTGGATAATAAATGGATAGATAGTTCAATGGATCGATGGATACATTAATGAATGAATACATGGATAAAAAGATAGGCAAAAGGTGAAATAAAGAATCGATGGATAAATTAGTGGATGGGAGAATTAAAGGATAGGTGGGTAACTGACTCAATGGAAAGTTCAATAGATGGATAAGTGAATGGATGGATGGGTAGATGCATAAATTAATCAGTGGATGAATTAAAAGATGGATGGATGGATAAATTATTCAGTGGATAATTAAAGGGTGGACAGGTGGACTCTATGCTAAGTACCTGAAATACATTAGCTTGTTTTATCCACACAGAGGGAATGCCAAGAAGGAAGAAATATTTCTATTTTGCACAAAAGATGCTTGAGCTTTGGAGGCAGGAAAAACCAATTCCCCAAGATTACACAACTAGGAAATGGTGGAGCAGGGATTCAAACTTACCTCTGCCTCTCTCCAAGCCCTGTGTTCTTAACCACCATAAAAACCATCCGTTCCCCCACCATCCCCTACTGCTTTGAGACCCTGACCAACCTTACACCTCCTAGATGTCCATCCTTTCCCCACCAACCCTCACTGCTTTGAGAAGCTGTGCTGACCACCCTCATGCCTCCTAGATGTTCTCATGACTCCAAAGCATCCAATTGCCCAGACTGGGCCTGCCTGTTTTCTTCAGCTGTAAACCTGAAGACCCCACAAGTCCATGGGAGCATAAGAGGGTCTGTGAGGTCTCCACACACGTGTGTATGTGTAGAATGAGGTGTCTGGATGTCATGTCTGTTCTCTGGAATGTCCCCTAAGTACCAAGACATTGCTATGGCTGAAGACAGATCCAGGGAGTCTGCTAGTGACCAACAATATTTATCAGACGCTCAGAAGACAAGCTCCAGCTTGGTGAGGCCACATCACCCAGTCATCCTAGCACCTGATAATCTGGCTCCACCAGGTTGTATGACAATAGTCATGGGGAAGGTGTGGACATAGACGAGGGAATAAAAAAAGACGGGAGCAGGTCATGGAGGGGAGATGTGTGAGGCAGTCCCCCACGGTTATCAGAGATGTCATGACATCCACCCCCTGACTTGAGACAGGAGGGCAGGGAAGGGAGAACGGAGGTGGAGCCACATACTCCAGTCCTGGTCCAGGCCACCTTCCCTCAAGACACAGGCAGTCGGACAGTCACGAGGCTGGCCGGCTTCAGCAGTTCTTGTTGCCATTCTGGACTTCTATGTACGGCAGCCCCACAGGCCAAGTGTCCCGGGGCCAGTAGCGAACTTTGAGGGTTTCGCCCGGCATCTCATAGCTGGCGTCCAACAGGGCCAAGGTAACCATGCCATAAGGGAAGGTGATGCTGATGAGCACGTGCCTGTGGGCCACAGAAAGGCAGAAAGGGCACATGCCCGTGGCGTGGGAAGGGCAGGAAGGGCACAGGTGTCTCCAGCCTCACCCTGCTCCTTACTCCTTATGGAGCCTGATCATCCAAAGGGATCTTCTTGGTCTGGCCCTGGACTGAAACCTTCTCCCCTACTGCCAAGTCCCAGTATCTGGGTCTCCCCGCTCTGCCTCCGACCCTCATACTCCAGGCTCCTGCCCTGAGGCCCCCAGGCAGGTGCTTACCAGATGCTGTGAAGATAGAAGAAGTGAATCCGCTGCCAGAAACTGCAGAGCAGACGGTCACTGATCCAGCTGGCCAGGGCGACAGCCCACAGAACCACAGATACCTCGATCAGATGCCGAAGCTCCTTATCTTTGGTCCTAGAGAGGGAGGAATGCGACCTAGGACCTGACTCAGAGAGCAGCACCTGCAGGACTGATAGGAAACTTCCCCTTCTGAGATGAGGCTTGGAGGCTGGGAGAAAGAAAGGAGCACTCAGCAATGGGAGCAATGGGGGCTGATCCCTGATTAGAGCTGACATTTGCTGAGCATTTATAGGATGCCAGCTGTGAACTTCTAAAAGTCCCTAAGGGGGGGGAGGGGAGTGCGTTCTGCAATGATCTGTGAACAGGAGGCCCCGATTTCACCACGATGCAGCTTACCATGAACCCAGACTGCACTTGTACCCCATGAATATGTATGAAGAAAAAAATGGGGTAAAAATAAAATACAAAAAGCAAAATAAAAGAATACAAAGCAAAAAATATTATTTATAATGAAGGTGAACAACAGCAACAAAAATAGGCCATAATCCCAGCACTCTGGAAGGCCAAGACGGGAAAGTTGCTTGAGCTCAGGAGTTGGAGACCAGCCTGAGCAAAAGCAAGACCCCATCCCTACAAAAAATAGAAAAAAATTAGCCAGGCGCTGTGCTGGGCACCTGTAGTCCCAGCTACTCAGGAGGCTAAGGTAAGAGGATCGGTTGAGCCCCAGAGTTTAAGGTTTCAATGATACCACTGCACTCTAGCCAGGTGACAGATCAAGACCCTGTCTCAAAAATAGTTAACTAAATAAATATCATTCAGATATTAATTCTCTCCTCACAACAATCTTGGAGATGAAGCACTAACAGTGACCCTACGCCCTGCCCCAACACCAGGGTTATACAGCTAGTAAGTTGGCAGAGCCAAGATTTAAACCAAGTTTGTTTGAATAAAAATATTCTTAACCAACAAATATTTCTGTGCTTATATGTTTAGGGATATAGGTGTGTGTGCACCTGTGAATCAGGCATGAAAATTTATGTCTGTGTCTATGAGATGTGTATATCTCTGTGTGAGTGTGTGAGCCAGGGGCTATATTCCCTGGACACAAAATGTTGGGACAACTCAGATCAGAATCTGTGTTTCCCCTTACAACAGAGCTAACTTTAGTGTCCTGTGAGAAAAAGCCATATCTGAGATGGCAACTTCTTTGTAGTTAAAAGCACAGGCTCTGCCCATAGGGACAGTTTAAACATCAAAATGCATAATGAATAAAAACTGGTAAGATCTGAATAAAGTCTGTAGTCTAGTTGACAATACTGTAAATACTGTACCAACATCAATGTCTTCTTCTTTTTTTGAGACTGAGTCACACTTTCTTGCCCCCAGTAAAGCGTTGTGGTATCATAACTCACAGCAACTTCAAACACTTGGGCTCAAGTGATGTTCTTTCCTCAGCCCCCCATGTAAGTGGAACTGCAGGCCCATGACAATGCCTGGCTATTTTATTTTTAGAGACAGTTTCACTTTGTCCCCCTCAGGAGAGTGCAGTGGCATCACAGCTCACAGCAACCTCCAACTCCCGAGCCTAGGCAATTCTCTTAGCCTCAGCCTCCCAAGTAGCAGGGACCACAGGTGCCTGCCACAATGCCCGGCTATTTTTTTGTTGCAGTTTGGCTGGGGTTGGATTCAAACCCACCACCCTTGGTATATGGAGCTGGCGTGCTGCTCACTGAGCCACAGGCGCCGTCCATGCCTGGCTATTTTTTAGAGAGAGTCTTGTACTTGCTCGGGTTGGTATCAAACTCATGAGCTCAAGCAATTCACCCACCTCAGCCTCCCAGAGTGCTGGGATTACAGCTATGAGCCCCCATGCCTGGCCAATGCCCTCCTTTTGAAGTTGTGCCATGTTTACATAAGATGTTACCTTTGTGGGGTTTTTTTGTTTGTTTGTTTGTTTGTTTGTTTGCAGTTTTTGGCCAGGGTTGGGTTTGAACCCACCACCTCTGATGTATGGGGCCAGTGCCCTACTCCTGGAGCCACAGGCACCACCCAAGATGTTACCTTTGGAGGAAGCTGAGAGAAGGATGCATGGGACTCTGCTATCTTTGCAACTTGCTGTAACTCTGTTACTATTTCAAAATGAAAAGTCTGTAAAACAGAATAATGACTGTAATAAACTGAAATACTTTGGAGCTATAAAAATCCATGAGTTCATAATGATACCTTTTTATTTTTATTTAAATATGGAGCGCTTCATGAATTCACATGTCATCCTTGTACAGGGGCCAGGCTAATCTTCTCTGTATCGTTCCAATTTTAGTGTATGTGCTGCCAAAGCGAGCTCAATGAGACTTTTTAAAAAATCTGCTTTGTTGGGTGGTGCCTGTGGCTCAATGAGTAGGGCACTGGCCCCATATACTGAGGGTGGTGGGTTCAAACCCGGCCCTGGCCAAACTGCAACAACAACAACAACAAAAATAGCCAGGCATTGTGGCAGGTGCCTGTAGTCCCAGCTACTCGGAAGTCTGAGGCAAGAACATTGCCTAAGCTCAGGAGTTGGAGGTTGCTGTGAGCTGCGATGCCACAGCGCTCTACTGAGGGTGACAAAGTGAGACTCTGTCTTTAAAAAATAAATAAAAATAAATAAAAAATAAAATCTGCTTTGTTGGTCCCTACCAGAGATTGCTAAGGCACCAACTCAGAACTCTGGAAATTGGTAAATAAAGGGAAAGAATTAGTCATCTATCCTGCCTTTCTTGTTCAACTGTATTTCAATGTGGATAAAAAGTCCTTCTTGATGGGACAGCTCCAGAAGGAATAATAGAATCTGCAAATCACCCTTTTGCAACCCATGATAAGAAAATGGATTGAGGCAGCATCTATGGCTGCTGAAACCATTAGGTGAAAGATTGACAGAAAACTTTATAAGAAGGAACCTGGTGGCACCATGGAAACCAACTCGTCCCCTTCAACAACACTCCACATGGAACAATCACTCTACCAGGTTCTTCTAGGATGGAACAGGAAGACCTGGATCACTCATGAAATATTCCTGCGAAACAACCCCAAACACCTAAACCTACATCTGCTATATCTAATGATTAATTTGCAGTAAATACAAAAAAACAAAGAGGGAACATGTTAAAAGACACTGCAGTAAATAGCCAAATCTAGAACATGAATTATGCTACATGACAAACTGCTGGACTTCAGCAAAGAAATCAGAGGCATAAAGACAGGGAAGGAGGACAGGACTGAGGGACTGCTATATGATAAGAGACCTAAAAGACCATGTTCGGATTCCGATCTAAAAAACACCAGGTCTAAAGGGACATCTCTGAGAAACCGAAGGAATCTCCTATAAACTGAGTGTGGTTAACTGTGTTAGACATGCGTGAGACATATCTCCCATTTTCCAATCTGTACCTGTCCTTCCACTTCTCTCAGCCTTGTGCCCTGCAAGGTGACACGTGTGGGTCAAATCCACAGGCTCCCTTGTCCTTGAGCTTCCAGTTGGAATGGTCAATGCTTTCTATCTGGACAGGCCAATGTTTTCATTTGTGCTGGCCAATGGTTTCCAGTGGGTTGGCCAATGTTTTTCATTTGGGTAGGCCAGTGGTTTCCAGTCACTGGACAATGGTTTCCATTTGAGGTGGCAAATGTTTTCCATTTGGGGTGGCCAATGATTGTCAGTGGGTTGACCAGTGATTTCCAGTGGGTTGGCCAATGGTTTCCAGTTCAGTTGACCGATAAGGATCCCCACAGGAAACCAAAGCACTGGAGAAAAGTTTTTTTTAAGTCTGTATTTCCCTAACATCCTCCCTGTGGGGCTGCTGCCTTATGCTAGCAAAAACAGTGATTAGAGATCATAGTTATTCTTGCAATTATTCCTTCTTACCTCCCCTCCTATCACCCTCTGGCCCAGGGGAAGGAGTTAGTTGGGAAGCTGTGGCAAGAGGATAGCTTGAACTCAGGAGTTTAAAATTGCTGTTGTGAGTTAGGCTGATACCACAGCACTCTAGCTTGAGCAACAGAGTGAGACCTTGTCACAAAAAAAGGGATGGAGGTCAAATTCTGGCCTGCCACACATTAGTGGATGACCTTGAGGAGGGGATGTCCCCCCATGAGCAGAGCTCAATGCCTGGAGGAGCTCAGCTGTATGTGGGAAAGGGAGCTGGCAGCACTCTCGTGCTCCCGGCTCCGCAGCACACTCACTTCTTGTACTCCTGGCACACGATGTAGAGGATGTGCAGGCCAACGGTGTTAAGGGCGTAGGCGTTGACTGTGGGCCGCAGGAAGGATAGCAAGGTGCTGACCATGGTGGTGACGAGGACCAGGGAGATGAACTGGGTCCTAGGAGAAAGGAGCTCAGCTGTATGTGGGAAAGGGATATCCTGAGGGATTTAGAGGCATTCACTCAGAGACCTGGTGGCTGACGTGGGTGAGAAACAGGAATGGTTCTGGGGAAACCAGCTAGGTTCCAAAGAGGGTCCTGAGTTTCCCAGGTGGACTCAGCAGAGGTTCCCTGAGCAACACAGCAGGACTCCATCTCTACAAAAGCTTAGAAAAATCATCCAGGCATGGAGGTATATGCCTGTAGTCCTAGCTACTCAGGATGATTGCCTGAGCCCAGGAGTTCCAGGCTACAGTAAGCTGTGATGATGCCACTGTGCTCCAGCCTTGGAACAAAAGAGAGGTCTTGTCTCAAATAAATAAGTAAATAAAATAAAAAGAAAAGAAGACCCAGGTAGAGTTGGGGAGCATGAGGAGAGTTGGTGATGCTCCCAGGTAAGGCAACTGGGGAGCCCGGGGGGCTGGAAGGAAGGATCTCTGGGCCAGGTGAATTTAAGAGAAGTTAAACAATGGTTTTTAGATATACCAAGGGATTAAGGAAGGATTACAGGGACCTCAGGGGTGATTGGGGTGAGGTGGAATGTCCTGGAAGGCTCACCTCAAGAAGAAGGTTTCAGAAGGGATTGGGGTGGGGTGGATTTAGGGGGCCTAGGAGAATCAGATGAATGCTTCCAGGAAGCATAGGCAGGGGAAGGGGGTGGGTAGGATCCCAGGTAAGCTTAAGCACTGGGCCCTGGGACATTCCTCCTACCCCAGGAGGCTCAGACGGGGTCTAGAGAAAGTCTCAGGTTGTCTGGGTGAGAAAAGGGAGGAATTCCAAGAAACTGAGTAAGATCAGGAGAGGGTGATTGGAAGCCCAAGGAAATCAGGATACATCCAGATGGATCAGGGTGGTCAGGGAAGGGATTCCAAGAGCCCCAACAGGATTACAGAGGGGACCCATGAGGCCCCAGTGAACTCAAGCAGGGTCAACTGAGGACTTGGGCTTTACCCTGCCCAAACAGCCAATACCTGTTCCCCCTAAGGAAGGCAGGGAAGTAGCAGCGGGGCATCCATATGCTGTAGCCACCACCCAGCAGCCAGAGGATGGCAATCTCATCTAGCAGCTGGCCCAGGAAACTCAGCGTCATGTGGAAGTACATGGAGAACAGGCCTGAAGTGGCAGACGCAAAAGCAGAAAGTCAGAGGCTTACCATCCCCCCCCCACTGCCCCCGCCATCACAGCCCCCACATGCCTACCTATGACCATGAAGAGGGTCACGATGCCGTAGACAAAGCGAGAGCGTTTCTGGGCGTAGGGATGCATCAAGAACATCATGAGCGGCCCAAAGATGAAGAAGGAGATATTGCTGAACTGTAACACAGGGAGACAAGAAGAGAGGGTCTGTCAGACGGGGGAGAACCGGGCTGCACAGGGGGACACGGACAGGGGGCCTGTCAGACGGGGAGGACTGGGCTGCACAGGGAGACATGGACAGAGGGGGCCTGTCAGACAGGGAGGACTGGGCTCCACAGCGGGACATGGAGAGGGCCTGTCAGATGGGGGAGTGACTGTGCTGCAGAAGGAGAACTGCCCTCTGTCCAAAACCTGAGTTAACAGCAGCTAGTCTCCTGGTGCATTTCAAAGTGGCAACAACTCATATGTCAACCTTTCAACTGACCTTGACTGTCTACTGGTCATCAGTAGCTCAGTTACTTGGCCAAGTACAGTGGCTCATGACAATAATCCTAGCACTTTGGGAGGCTGAAGCAGGAAGATCACTTGAAACCATGAGTCAGAGCCTGGGCAACATACCGTGTTTCCCCCAAAATAAGACACTGTCTTATATATTTTTTTTTCTCAAGAATACACACTAGGGCTTATTTTCAGGGGATGCCTTATTTTTATTAAGTATAATACAACAATCTACATTTATTCAAATACAGTTAAGTCATCTTCTTCTGGAACCTGACAGGGGAGCCAACCTTGTTGGTGGGGCTGGTGCTAGTGATGCGTGAACTCCTTTCCCCTAGCCGTTCACTCGTGCGCAATAGTTACCTGACGGCAGTTACCGCACACACACCTGTGCAAGTGTGAACGGCCCAGAGAAAGGAGCTGTGGTAGGTAAAAGGTATTCCAGTCTTCCTTACCACTCAGCCTCGAAATGCATGGCATATCTGCATAGCCATGCCCATCACTAGGTCTTATTATCAGGCAGGGTAGGGCTTATATTTAACAAATGCATAGAAATCCTGCTAGGGCTTATTTTTTTGGGTAGGTCTTATTTTTGGGGAAACACAGTAGATTCCTGTCTCTAGAAAATTAGAAATATTAGCCAGGCATGGTAGCATGCGCCTGTAGTCACAGCTCCCAGGGAGCCCAGGAGTGGGAGGCTACAGTGAGCAATGATAATCACACTGCACTCTAACCTGGGCAATAAAGGGAGGCAAAGACCCTGCCCCTAAAAAAATTTAAAATCACGTATTCAGTCCATTATTCTATTCATTCACTGCATGTGACTGCTTTCCTTTAGAAATAGTATCTCCCAGGTTTTGGCTGGGCACATGTGACCTGGTCTGGCCAATGGGTAAAAATGTAAATGACATTTACTATTTCCAGGTTAGTCCTTAAGGGGAAAGAGCTCCATTAAATAAGGCTTTTCCTCTAGTCCTCTTTTCCCTTCCTGTGGTATGGAGGTCATGATTGGTCCTTGGCCTTATAGACAAGAAAAGACAACACAATATCCCCTTGACTTGTTTCTAACAAACAACATGAAGCAGAAGTAATGCTCTGTGACTTCTGAGGTCAAGTTATAAAACGGACTGTGGATTCCACCTTACTCTATCTCAGAGAATAAGACTTTTAGGCTAGGTACAGTGGCTCACAGCAGTTTGGGAGGCTGAGGAAGGAAAATAAACCCTGGAATTTTAGACTAGCCTGGTTAACATATAAAGACCCTGTCTCTACAAAAACAAACAAACAAAAACCACTTTTTTTCTGATGTAACCCGAAATTATTTTTACAAATTAATATTAGGATATACACAATTGAGTTACATTGTTTGCATCTGTTAGGTATCAAAAGAAAATTGCTTATGAATTAGCTAGGCATGGTGGTGTATGCTCAGCTACTCAGGAGGCTGGGGCAGGAAGATTGCTTAAGCCCAGGATTTTGAGGCTGCAGTGAACTATGATCACACCACTGCACACCAGACTGGGCAACAGAGTGAGACCCTGCCTCAAAGTTTTAAAAAAAGACCATGCAATATAACTGGCTACCCTTAAAGCACCCATGCTGGAGGGATCACATAAGGCAGCAGCTCTCAACCTGTGGGTTGCGACCCCTTTGGACTCTATTAAAGGTTTGCAGCATTAGGTTGAGAACCACTGACATAGGGAGATCACACACAGATAGAGAGAAATTCTGAAAGAGCCCCAGCTGTTTGATTCTTCCAAGTACCTTCTTCCTACCCTTCAAGCTGAATGCCCCAACTGATGCAGAGATAACCTATACATGCCAAGCCATACTCAGATTACAGACCCAAAGGCAAAATAAAATGTGTCATAGTTTCAAGCCACTAAATTTTAGGATGATTCATTATGCAGCATGAACTTTCTGATATAAAGAAAATATTACTGTGGGTTGAGGTGGCCAGGAAAAGCTTCCCCAGGGAGGAAGAGGGGAATAGTGTCTACAGAATATGGCTGCACTTGTTTAGAATCCCATGATTGATATGGTTACCAGGGGATTAATTTCCTGTTCCCCTATAATTCAACACCTACTATGTTCCAGGCTCCAGGCAAAATATTAACTCATCCTCAAAAAGATCCATCCAAGTAAGTATTAGACTAACCATACAATAGAAGAAAATACTCAGTATTGGAGGGGTCAGATGCATCCAGCACCATTGCCTAGCCAGTTATGGAGAATCCAGGATTTGAAATCAGATCCCAAGGACATGTGACTGTTTTATGAGAAGGATCAGAGCTCTGTTTTCATGGCAGAAGAAGCTGTTGACTAGGTGTCAATAAGTGATTGGTAAATAACAAATAAATCAAAGTAGTCGCCATCAGTAAGACTACCAAGAACATGGCAGTTATCAGGAGAGAGCGGAGGCTGAGTACTTTGTGCTGCACAGAGGGACCACTTCCACCTTATACGGTCACAGAACAGCAGGGGCCAGAGGTGGAAATCTGGACCAGACAGGGCAGCCTCACTGAGCAGCTAAGAACGGGAGTTGCATCTGAGGTGATCTCAGCAGGAGCAACTACCTATGGGTGGATTTCCAGAGGAACTGTGACACCAAGAGGTGGTTAGAGCAGTATCGGAACACCAAGGAAGCTGATTCCAAGCAAAAACCAGCTTCCGTCTACGGCTGAAGCTTCTTCCCAGCTTGCATGGTCTCTAGGAGAACCTGCATCATCTCTTTATCTAGCCTTCCTCTAAGAATTCTGAAGTTTTAACTGTGGACATCAGATTTGAGGGAACAGCAAATAATGACTATGGACAAGAGTAGCAGGGGGCCACAGCACACTGATGAAGGAATGAGACATATCCTGCAAGATGGCCTGATATTCACTGGTACCTTTAAGGCTTTTGATAAGCACATGGATTTGATCCTCTGCGATTTTGATGAGTTCAGAAGGATCAAGTCAGCCAGAGCATGAAGAAAAGAGGGTCTGGGTTCTGATGTTGCTGCATGGGGAGACCTTGGTATCCATGACTGTGGAGAGGCCAGCCTCCCCACCCTGCCCAAAGATGCTGGCACTACTTGAGTACCACTTTCTGGAGCTGCAAGAGGGCTGGGGTTGGCAGAGCAGCCAGCAAAGGAAAACAATCATCCTTCTTCCTCATTAGCCAAACTGTGACTGTAACGTGCATCCTACAGAAAGCCCAGGCCCAGACCAGGAAGGGAAATATAAGTCAACCTGATTCTCCCCTTTCTTCTACACTAGGAGAATATTTTTTTAAGCTGAGCATATGGCCACTTGGCTAAAGACTACATTTCACAGATTCCCTTGCAGCTACACATGACCATGTGACCAAGTTCTGATGAAAAATACGTAAAAGCAAAAGGGTAGAGTGTGGCTTCTAAATTGTACCCCTCCTTTCCTCTCATTTCTGTGGCGTGCAGATGGGATGAGGTGGCTTTTTGGACCCTACAGATGAAGGCAATGGCCTAGAGATGACAGAGCTAGGTCTTTGGCACCAGAGAGTTTTCACATGAGTCTTGGAAACTTATGATGAGATGTTATGTAAAAGAGAAATAAATTTCTGTCTTCATTAAACCACAATTATTTTAAGACTCAGCTACATCTGCTGAATGTATACCTTAAGTATACATACCCCATTTCTTTTTTGCTAAATAAACCCAAATTTTGTTCGAGCATCAGGAAGAAGGCTGGGTGCAATGGCTCATACCCGTAATCCTAGCACTCTGGGAGGCCAAGGCAGATGGATTGCCTGAGCTCACGAGTTTGAAACCAGCCTGAGAAAGAACGAGACCTCATCTCTAAAAGTAGCTGGGCATTGTGGCAGATGCTTATAGCCCATAGTCCCAGCTACTTGGGGGACTGAGACAAGAGGATGGCTTGATCCCAAGAGTTTGTGGTTGCTGTGAGCTATGATGCCACAGCACTCTACCAAGGGCAACAAAGTGAGACTCTGTGTCAAAAACAAAAAAGAAAGAAAGGGTCAGGAAGCCATGGCCTTCAGATGCAAGACTTAATTCCAAGGCATGAGTCATTTCCATTGCTAATATTTGCTTAAGAAAAGAGTGTGTGGGCTTGGCGCCTGTGGCTCAAGTGGCTAAAGCGCCAGCCACATACACCTAAAGTGGCGGGTTCAAATCCAGCCCCGGCCCGCCAAACAACAATGATGGCTGCAACCAAAAAGTAGCTGGGTGTTGTGGCGGGCGCCTGTGATCCCAGCTACCTGGGAGGCGGAGGCAGGAGACTCACTTGAGCCCAGGAGTTGGAGGTTGCTGTGAGCTGTGATGCCACGGCACTCTACCCAGGGGGACAGCTTGAGGCTCTGTCTCAAAAAAAAGAAAGAAAAAGAAAAAGGTGTGTGATCGAATTCTGACCAATGAGACATGAGAGAAAGTCTGATGAGAGGCTTCTGGGAAAGTTCTTTATATTAAAATCTGGCTTAGTGAAAAAAAAATTGGATATTGCTGTGATGTTTAAGATGTGGCAGCTGTTTTTGCAAACATGAGGAAAAAAGACTAAGAGCAAACACAAATTCTCAAGGACAACAGTTCCCAAACATGTTGGTCTCAAGAACCTATTATATTCTTTTCTTTTTTTTTTTTTTGGAGACACTGTCTCAAGCTGTTGCACTGGGTAGAGTGCCGTGGTGTCACAGCTCACAGG